AAGTCTAATCTTTTAATGCAAAAGAAAAAGTGAATGAGATTCCACAAGGTAGAGAACAAAAGATGGAACTTATGAAAGAAAATTAAGAGACATGGGGGAACAGTCCAGGAGGTCCAACATCGATCTAATAGGAGTTTCAGAGAGATGCAACAGGAAGACCAGAGGAGGAAAATAATACAAAAGCCAAAGTAGAAAGTGAGCTGAAAAAAGAAAAATTGAGTTGAAAAGGCCTGCCAAGAGGCCAGCAGGTGGCATAGTGGTTAACGTGCTGAAGTCCCACATGGCTGACTGCAGTTTGAATCTTGGACCCAGCAGCTTGCAATTCAAGCTGAGAGTGTGTGCATGTGTGCCCAAGATCCCAAGAAGAGAGTGGAGGAAAAGGAATTGCAGTGTGGCCATCTCCCCGTGTGTGTGTGTGTGTGTGTGTGAGAGAGAGAGAGAGAAAGAGAGAGAGAGAGAGAGAGAGAGAGAGAGAGAGAGAGAGAGAGATTTCTTGCTTTCTGTCTCTCTGGTGAGCACACATACCCTACAGCAAAAATCTCTCAAGAAAAAAAAAGGCCTACCAAGTTCCAAGCTGGAAAAAATTATGTAAGAGAGAGGGAGAACATGCAGGATGGGGAGAAGTGGGTAAGTCTGGTTTTAAAGAGCCTTTGGGATACCAGGGCAGACACCAGGACCCGCTGGCTGCTAGATCTGTGGAGTTGAGACCCGGTGTGGTGGTCAGGGCTGGAGAGAAACTTGAGAATCACTGAAGAACTTCTCGGGAAGGAAGAGGAGAGCAGAACAGAGGAGAGGACAGGAAAGGAGAGGAGAAGACTGAGATGAGGACCCAGGGAAGACACAGAGCAGCGGGAACCCTTTCCACTCCCATGCGAGGTTTCTTAGATGTTATCTTCCAGAGAGAATCAGCCTAATCAGCCTGCCCTTCTAACCCTTTCCACCCTGGGCTCCCCTGGGCCTGACTGCCCTCTTTTTTTTTTTTTTTCTTTTTGAGAGGTTTTTGCTATAGGGTGTATGTACTTGCCAGAAAGACAGAGAGAAATAGAGAGACAGAAAGCGAGACATCATTCCCCAGGGGGGATGGCCATGCCACAATCCCTCCTCCTCCATTCTCCTTTCGGGATCTTGGGCATGCACGCACACACGCCTGGCGTAAGTTTAAGCCACTGGGTCCAGGACTAGAACTGTGGTTGACTACATGGGAGTCCAGCGACATAGCCATTACGCCAACTGCTGATCCCCTGACTGCCCTCTTCTTTAAGGCCTAAGCCACCTTCCTGGGGGATGGGTTTGTAGTTGACAAGGGTGAAAATTGCTGAGAGGGTTGGGATGGCGGTGGCTCCATTACTCACATTAGTCCATTTGCAGGTGGAAATCACATCTTTAGTCTCACTGAAAGAACCTGTCTTTCCACTGAAGCAGCTCATTCCCAACCACTTAGAAGCAAACAGCGCGTCTAATGGCGGCCGATAACACACCTAATGGAGAGGTAGAGCAGCCAGCCCTCACTCCCTGCTTGGTGCACTCGGGTGGGTGTGGGGAGTAGAGACGGCAGGGAGGGAGGGAGGAAACAAAACCAAGCAAAAAGACTTGATACCATGAGTGGGGGTGAAGATCAGTTCTCCTTGCCTCCCTGACTGCTAGCAGAGGGGTCCTTGCCCCAGAATGGCTGTCATCTGAGCCTCTGAGAAGGAAAGGAGGGAAGGAGGGAAGAAGATTGGAAAACAGAAGATTACGAGGACTGGAATGTGTCTTCTCCCCAAAGTGAGGGCTGATTCTTCTGCTTCTTTCTCCGTGGAGTGATATACTTAGGGGCTGGAAGCCCCTCTAGGACGTACAGATGAATTGACTTTCAAACCTGAAGGTAATTAGTGTGTGGATGTCTCCAGAAATTCTCTACCTCTGTCATCTTGTGTCACACAGGGGAGGGACCTGCATGTATGTCCCTCAGTGTTTACTCTCTTTCTCTCTCACACACACAATTTCTCAATGAGCACATTGCATTTATTCTTCCTCTTTCTCATCTCCCCCCACCCCGGCCCCAGATAACCCAGATCACCTAATCACGTGCCAGGGTCGATTTGTATTTTCCCTGCGGCCTTGCAGAGGGGCCAGAGTAGGAGCCTCAGTAAGGAGGGGGCAGGAGGGGGACATGGGGAGTAGCCAGTGGGTAGTTTTCCCTGGTTGGGAGAGGAGCCAGATGTCATCTGCCTGGGTGACCAGAGATGCCTGGCACCCTGACAGCTCTGGGCATGGGGTGTCCACCCAGAGAGCTGCAGAAGGAGAGGTAACGGATTGTCCTCACCTCAGCAGCAGGCCAGCTCCTTGACAGACTATTCTTGCAGAAAATAAAGCCCCTCTCTACACATGCTGCCGTTGCTGAGGCCGCCACCACTGCGTTAGGAGGGTTAGTGACTGTCCATTAACTCTGGAGAACTGATTCTCACCAGGGCTGTGCTAACAGCTGAGAGCCAGAAAGTGCTGACGTGTGGGGGCAGGCTGGTCCCCCCACCCTGGCTGGGCACTCACAGGGTAAGTCGGCAAGGTCACTGGCAGGGCTCATTCCGCTCTACCCCAGTGCCAATTAGCTAAGGTCTTCCTGAGCATTGGCTGGGCCTGCCACAGATGAGAAACATCATTGTCAGAGAAGCTTGTTTTGTTTTTATATATATATTTTAAAAAAAACCTCTCCAAAGGGCTGAATTTTTCCTTACTGTCCCCTCCTCCAGTTTTTCTAGGAGAGAGATCCTGCTCAGATAGGGTCCGTGGCTCTTGGCTCTTCGCAAGGGATTTTGTTTGGTGAAGCAGTTTCCTGCCCTCTTAGTTGGAGGCAGGAGCCCTCCCAGCTCAGCCACTCTGTCTACACTCATGGATTTTCTGGGGAAATAAGAGAAAGAGGGGTCCTTGAGAAAACACCAGAAATATAAATTGCTTTTCTGGTTCTTGTTGGTCCCTTCCACTTCATTCATGAAATCCAGTTCATCACTAAAAGGTCATTAACTTTTTAAATCAAGTTTATAAGGGACCAGTAGTTGGCATAATGGCTATGTCACTGGCTATGTCCCATGTAGTCGACTGTAGTTCGAGTCCCAGACCTGGTGGCTTAAACTCAATCCAGGTGCGTGTGCATGCGTGCCCAAGATCCCGAGAGAATAGAGAAGGGATTGCGATGTGGTCATCCCTCTTGGGGGTGGATTTCTTGCTTTCTGTCTCTCTGTCTCTCTCTGTCTTTCTGGTGAGCACATGCGCCCTAGAGCAAAAACCTCTCCAAAATAATAATAATAATAAGTTGGTATACTGTATCTGAGAACTGAGGACAGCCTCAGAGAGCCCCACAGAACATAAGGGCTCAGAATCTTATAACTCCTAGAGTCCAACATTCCTACAGATGAGAAAAGGAAGGCCACAGAGGAGAAGAGGTCTGCCTGAGATAGTCAGTGGCAGATCTTGGACCGGAACACAGAGCTCCTGATTCCCAAGTCAAATGCTTTTATTCTGATACATTTGAACATTTCATTCCCTTATTTCACACCCAATTACTGAGTCCTTACTATCTTCCAGGTGCTGTGGGGGAAGGGGGTGTGGAGGGATGCAAAGAGATTAAAAACAACAGAGTCCCTGCCTTCAAGGAGCTGTTTCCCTGGATCTGTGATCCTTGGGGGGGGACAAAACTGTGAGTCAGACTCTCACCCTATATTATCATCTATAGGTGATGATGGAAGAGGCGGGAGCATAAACCTTTCAGTCTTTTAGATTTTTAAGCTGATTCTGGGACCCCAGGGAGGCCAAGGACAAAAGGAATCATGCCAGGCTGGGAGAAGAGAGGGATGGGTGACAATAACCTGGTAACTGCTAGCAGGCCAGTCAGGGGAGAGGAACAATGACAGCAGATCACACTGGGATAGTTGACCAGCCTCCCATCAGGTACACTGTTTTGTTGAGTCCCCTAGACAGTTCAATAGGTGAGAAGAGAAGCTACCTTCTTCTTACTTTAAGAGTGAAAAAACTGGTTCAGAGAACTCAGGAAACTGGCCTGAGCCAGTAAGATCCAGTGCAGAGCCAGGAACTTCTAGTTTAGTGCTCTTTCTGCCACTGGCGGTGGGAAAGTTGTGCTGGGTTGGAGGGTAGAAAGCAGCGGTCAGCCACAGAGATAGGCCGCCTTCCTCTACGCAGTTTTATTTTGATCGCTACATTCTGCCACTCACAGAACTCTGCTCTGGAGAACTGGAAGCACTTTGCAGGCCTGAATGAGCTCATTTAGTACACTCTTGCCAGAAAGAGAGAGCACTCCAAGTGGAGGTTCTGTCTAGGGTCACCAGCATTCAGGCACATAGTGGGAAACAGGACTCAGGGTCCCCCAGTCTTTGCTCTCATGCCCCAAGCAGTGTGACACAAAGCCAGCCTCCTTCCATGAGAGTCAAGAAGGCCACGGGAAAAACATCGAGGTAGCTTCCAGTGCCCTTTCCTTCTTTGGAGAAATGGGCTAATCAGTCTTAAGCGGTCTGGTGTATTCTTTGGCCCAAGGAATTTCTTCTAGAGCAAGAAATCTCAGAGCAGGGGGGACCACAGCCACCCACTGTCATCGGTGGGCCTGTATGGGAGATAGGAGCTTAACGAAGCCCACTCAGGTTTTCCTAGTTTGGCAGAACCCTGATGCAGACTGGGGTACAAGGGAGTCTGGGAGATTCTAATCAGTGTCCCTTGCAACCAATGGGCAGTGTGTCTCAGCGGTGCCTGAGGTCAGGGCCAAGGCCTGGAGGTGTTGGGTCAGGGGCCCAGGTGTCTGTCTTGGCTCCAGTCCCACAAGCCCCTCCCAGTATCCCCAGCCTGCAAGCTGAGGGCTGGGGATGGACGTGGCGCTAGCTCTGATGGAGCAAGCACAGGGTGCGTGCGACCACCAGGGAGTCCCCATCCTTGAGGGCTCCCTTTGCCCTCCCCGGCTCACTCCGGGCTCGGAGCCTAGCTGAGCGCTCCCGCTGCGTCCCCAGACAGCCCCTTACCTGTCCCGCCGCGGAAGGTCCCGCCTCCTTCGCGGAGCTCGGAGGCCCGGCATGGGCCGGAGAGCGACGGTGTCCCCGCCTCGCGGCCGCGGTGGAACTCCCAAGAGGGCTCCTCTGTTCCCGGCCCCGCGTCCCTGC